TGCCGTTCCAAAGCTAGGTTGAAAAAGGAGGAAGGTTGCAGTCCGTAGAGAAGTCTCCGTAAAACTTCGACGGCATGATATTCATGCCATCGAAAATTATACCAGCTCGGTCGTCGCCCGGGTCATCAAGGGCCGTGCAGCAGTTGGAGGACTGAAGCAGGCTGTGAGAAATCGGCGACCAGAACCTGCGCATCACTGTGTGCTAGCCAGGGCCGTAGCAGCACAGCAACGGCTGACGAAGACCGACGGAACGACGACGAAGACACCAGTCAGCAACGCAGTCGCTACTCGTTCTGAACGGAGGAGGCAGACAGCGCGATGCCATTATAGCACGCCAGAAAAGGGTCCACTACAACGACACAACCAGTGTGAGTTAAAAGTAGAAAATTGGAACATATCCTCACTCAGAAGGAAAGAAAAAGAGTTAGTTGATGAGGCCATAAAGTACCAACTCGACATTATTGGACACTCGTCAACGAAACGCTAAGGCTATGGACTCCTGAACTTCAGCGGATTGAAGCTATTCTACTCAGGTGTCGATATCAGGACGCGCACTCAGGCCGGTGTTGGTGTTCTGGTAGAACAAAACGTCGCGGATAGAATTATTGATTGGAAGCCTGTCAGCAGAAGAGTGGTAATCGACAGGCTAAAGCGGCGACCTTGGTGCACAATTATGCGCCCAGTTTGGAGGGAGAATATGAGGCCTTCGTTGAGGAAGTGCAGTGTGCTCTGTCCGAATACAGAAGGAAGGAGAATATGAGATCTTCCTTGAGGAAGTGCAGTGTGCTCTGTCTGAAGTGCCGAATACAGAGTCAGTACTGATGGGCGATTTTAATGCGCACGTCGGAGTAGACGTTGAAAAGTGGAACGGCGTGATTGGGAAAAAAGGCCCTAGCGACCTCAATAATAACGGCATAATGTTGTTGCGGTTCTGTGCAAACAACGGATTGTCCATTATGAACACCTTCTTCGAGCATCGAACAGTGCATCAGTACACCTGGTACCGGGAAGCTTGTGCACAGAAGTCGATGATCGATTTGATAATCGTATCG